GCTGGGGCCCAGGAGGGAGCCTCGTGTGACGGGGGGTTACCCGGGTGTGTGTGTGGGGGGGGGTTGGGGGGTTGGGGGGGAAAAGAGGGAGGACGAAGCGACCAGGGAGGCGATATTGCTGAAGGCGCCGCACGCGTACATGGAGACTGGCGGGCTGTTGGAGGTGCGCAAAAGTCTGTATGTATGTGTATACACATATACTACACACGTATTACTTATATATGTGTAAAAGACAGACTTTTGTGCGCCTCCGACAGCCCGCTCGTCCCCACACACGTGTGCGGCGGAGAGAAAGGGACAAGGTCCATCGCTGTTGCAGCCAACTGCCGTACTGCTGCAGTAATGTCGTACCTGAATGGCGGCAGTGCAGCCATGGGGCCCTGCAGCGGCGGCGAGCAACACAGCAGCCGGAACTGCTCTGACGTCAGCACTGGTGGCGGCGCCGAGGTAGCGGCGGCGATGAGCGCGGCCGGGGAGCCGGCAGCCGCCACCGTCGCCGCCGCCACGACGGCACCGCTGCCGCCACCGCCACCCGGCCGCTGCGGCCCGGCAGCAGCTTGCTTCTTCCCATCTCGGTTCCCGCCGGAGCTTCCGCCGCTACCGCCGCCGCTGCTGCCAGCGTTTGTGGGTTGTACGACTCCCGACGTCGACGCCGTCGCTGATGTCCCGGCGGCGGCGGCGGCGGCGGCGGCGGTAGAGGCAAGGTGCGACGGCGGTGGAACCTACCAGCGGAAAGACAGTCACACCCCCGGGGTTGGAGGGTTTTAGGTTAGGTTATATGAGGGTTATTATGCGCTTACCAGGTGAGGGTGAAGGGGGGGCGGAGGAGGGGAGGTTACATGGAGGCGCCTGCTTGGCGGTCAGGAGGTCGGATAGAGCAAAAGACAGAATCTGCTGTACGGAACCGCACCATGATGTATCGTATTTTACCTGTCTGTACTGCAGCAAACACGGCAGCTTCTGGTTGGCATAGGTAGCGGTTACCTCGTGCGCCGGGCAGTTGGGTGAAACGGAAAAGTCGTTAAAGAGAACCCACTCGGGACCCTGCGGCGGCGGCAGGGGGAGGGGTGCAACCGTGGGAACGCAAAAAGGAGGATCACAACACAGGATAAAAGGAGCCGCATCCGTCAAGGACGGCAAGTCGTACGGCATAGATGGGCACGTCGTACATACATACACACATACACACACAGAGGTCCACACACCCGCCCAAGAGCGACGCCACCGACGACCGACAGTCCCCGGGGCCTCACTCCTCTTTCCCCCCGATAACCCCCACTTCCCACTTGCCACTCACCTGCGGGTGACCTCGCGACCCATGGGTCAATGGAGGTGTCGCCGCGCCGCCAGCGGCGCCAGCAGTGGCGGCACTCGGCCACCCTGACGCCGGGGGGTTGCCGCTTGCAGCCGTCGGAGCCTGAGCTGCCGCCGCCACCGCCGCCGCCGCTGATGTAGATGTGGTGGACATGGGGGACGTGAATAGCGGCTCCGGAGACCTGGGCGGCTCTGGGGGAGGAGCTGTGTGGCCGCCAGGAAGGGCCGCCCCGCCCCCCGCCCCCCGCCCCCCGGCCCCCAACCCACCCGGGGTTGATGGCGCAAACGCAAACAGAGGAGACACGGGACATTGACGGGAGGAGGAGAGGGGGAGGAGGAGGAGGAGGAGCGGAGAGAGGTGTAAGACGAACCGCTGACGGGGAGAGGGGAGAGGGGAGAGGGGTATCCTCACTCATACTGCGATACTGGTGGCAAGATGACGTGGCATCGCAGTGAGCGCGTACTACAGATCCCCTAACACGCACTCCTCAACTATAAAGACTTTCGACAGAGATCCGGGAGGTGGGGGTCATGTCCACACACTACTGACGGCTACCGACCGACCGGCTAGGTGGTACCACCACCACCACCACCACCACGACCGCCACCACCACCACAGGCACATTATTTCTCTCATCGCGGCTCAGATCACGATAACGATAGGTGGTGGTGGTGGTGATGGTGGTGGTGTTTCCCCCCTCCCCCCTTCTACGTAGTGGGCCAGACGGCATCTGGGGGATTTCCTCGGTATTGTAGCCTTTTGAAGCCCCTCCCTCCCACGGCCCCTCCCTCTGGCCTCTGGACTCTGAGCACACAGTGAACCGCGCACACCTATCGTCATTGTGGATGAGAAGATGTCGTCTAGGTCGTCGGGCAGGGAGATGGATCCAAGATCCAAACCGACACCACTGCTGCGGGGTCCACCGGCGGCGGCGGAGGCGGTGTCGGAGGATGGCGCCGTGGCGGCGGCGACGGTAACAGTCGCCGTCGACGCCGAATGTCGCTGCGGGGCCGTTTTCCCGTTGGGCTGATTGCGAGGGAGAGCGAGGGGGCGAGAGAGGAAAAGAGAGAGAAGGAAAGTGGGAGAGCGGTTTGCGTGAGCGGTTGGGCTTTGAAGCATATCCCTCCGTCAAACCAACCAACTAACCACTAATCAAGCAACGAACAAATAAATCACACAACGAGTCAATCACCCAGCCTGGGCGGGTCTTACACACACACACACACACACACACACACGCACGCACCTGTGCAGTGCTGTTGCTGCTGCTAGTCATCACCGTCACCGCTGTCTTACTCGTTGTCGTACTCGTCGTATTTGTTGTCGTACTCGGCTGCTTGCCCTGTATGTACTCCGCCATGGAGCCCGGCGGCGGCTTGGTCAGCCGCGGCTGCGGGATCTCGTCCCAGTACTGCTGCGGCACCTGAGTGTACGGCACAACAGATATTCACACCACACCCAAAACGTTTTAATCATTCTTAACACCCATTCTCCCGGTGCTCTCTACTCCCGGTGTATTCACACGTTGGTCGCCGGTAGCGGTTTTCCCCAAACACGAAGGCGGTCCGAGTACGACGATATTGTTCCTGACTAACTACCAGGCAACGAACTTGTCCATTATTCTCGTTGGTATAAATTTTCATTTACGTTTACGCGCTGAAGGATATCCAGTCGCACAGACAGACAGACACACACACACACATAGGCTGGTGCTAGGAGGACCCCGGTAGGTAGATGGGCTATCCAGCTGGGCGGGGGGAGGGGGAGGGGATAGAGGCCCCGGAGGGTTCTTCTTTGTTAGGTCTGGGTAGAGGGCTTCCCGAGGGGGAGGGGGCTCGCCTCGCCGCAGGTTGCGCAAAGGCAGGGACAGCAGTGGGAGGGGTTTTTCCTGAGAGGTCGCTGTTGCTGTATGGGGCTTGGGCGGAGTTGCAGGCTAAGGGGGTGGAGCTGTAGAGCGGGCTGGGTGTTTAACGCTGTGTGAGTTGCGTATGTGTATGTGTATGTGTGGTGCTGCCTCGAGGCATCCCTAGGCATCTCTAGCCCTGTCGGTGAACTCACACACACACACACACACACACACACACACACACGCACACACGACACACACACACACACTGCCATCTCGCACCTTGACCATGGTGACCAGGTGGCCCTGATTTGGCTTGATGGTGCCGCCGGTGCGATTCGAATTCGGGTCGGCCGCCTCGTCCAGGTCGCGAATCTGGAACACCGCCCCACACAGCTCATACACGCCGGACACCACACCGGGTGCGAACAAGGACGTGCCTGCGCAGGTGGTGGAGTGAGGCGGACATACAGACAGACAGGTAGACAGCCCGGCAAGGCAGGTAGGCAGGTAGGCAGGTAGGCATGCACATGCACACATAATAATCACGTCCGCTAGGCACACACGTAGGCGGGTGTGTATGATTATTATATTCCCCATATCTTCCCCCCTGTTCCGGAAGCCCAACAACCGCTCAAACCCCCATCATTGTCGTACTGCCGTACAGTGAAATACGCGGGTCCTTCACTTACCTAGTTGTTCATACAGCTGCTCCGCCGTGTCCGCCTGGTGCACCTCAACCTCCCATAACTGCGGGCAGCGGGTTCGACAGTTGACAGTTAGAATGCGGTACATCATAGATACACGTGTGCAAAGTTACACGTACGTACAGACATACGTACATACACCTACCTGCGTTTTGCTGACCACCGCCAGGGCCCAGGGCAGTCTATTGGCCTCTCCAGAGGGGATCTCACCATCTGGGGAGGAGGGGAAAGAAGGGCCCCAGGAGGGCCCCAGAAGGGCCCCAGAAGGGGGAGGGGGCTCCACCACGTAATTAATGTCGCAAAGAAAGTCAAAGGACCAACCGGACGACGTCGGGGCTGGCCAGGCCGCCGGGGAGGTTGGGTTGGGAACTACCCAATGCAAAAAAGGCAAAAAAACTCAAGAAACATCAGCAGCACCCCACACGACCCGGAAACGAGGCCGCAGAGATACGGAGGAATACACCCAAGTACCCTAACGTCCTCTAGCCCCTTCCACAGGCCCCCCATACCCCCTGCCGTACCTCCCCTTTCCCGTCCCCCCCTCCCCCTTATTACCCCCCACCTGGCCCCTTGTTGGGCAGCCACCAGGCGGCCTCCTTGTTGTCCCCGGGGGCCACATTGACAGTCAGCACGGGGGGGAGGGACAGCGGGACACGAACCTGGGAATCCCCAAGAGGGGGCAAGCAGGGGGGGGGGACGGAGGGGGGAGACGAACCACGAACAAGTGAAACTGATGTCACGGAAAGACTGATGCGCCAGAAGGGGAAGGGGGGAAGGGGGGGGTGTATGCGAAGAGCAAATAAACCACGGGTCCCGAGGGGGACGGGAAGAGGGGAAGAGGGGGCAAGCAGGGGGACACGGGTTATGATACATACGGGGGTATGTACGGATGAGTTTTGCGGAATTTTGCGGAGCACTGAGACGACGGTAAAACCTCGCGCGTGGCATAGAAAGCACCGTTTGTGCCGCAGCGTACGGCACAGCACAGTTAAATGGCGATTGCCAGAGGATGCCGCATCATATCGTACGAGTCTGTATGATGCATGCAAGTATAGCTGCGCACAATCGTGCCCGTGTATGCCGGCATGTGCTGCGGCCACATGCGTGTCTGTGCGTGCGTGCTTGCGTAACTCTGATTCATATCTGAGCCGCAATACGAGGACAGGCCGAAGTGTGCCGAAGTGTGCGCGTGTGTATGTGTGTGCCGTACCTTGCGTACCAGCGCATATCCCCTCGCCTCGTCCAGCCAGGCCCGGGTGGCCGAGGCGGCGAGAAGAGACCGCCGAAGGAGCTCGGAAAAGGGGGGCGGGGGACTGCCGGGGGGGTCCTCCTAGCCTCAGAAGAAAAGGGGTGGGGGGAGAGAGGTGAGGGCGTTTCATGGGGTGGGGGGTGGGAAGACGGACCACGAAGCTGGATAAGGTTAATGACGATCATGCAAACATTGCAACGTAAGCAAGAGAAGGAATGAAGCTGAGCGATACGCCAGAAGTAAGGAAGCATGATGGACTGGGGTTTGGAGGGAGAGGGAGGGAAATGGCTGTAGATAAATGTGGTGGACAAGAATGCACCGAAGGGTACTAACCACTGCTTCTCCCCCCCCAGCCCTCAAAAAACACATTTCCCCCCTCCCCACCCCACCACCCCCTCAACAACCCACCTGCGAGGGGGCCGTTCCCGGCAGCCTGTTCAGCCCCAGCTGCCGCGCCTCCTCCGCCGCACGCGCCGCCTTCTCACGGGATGGAGGGTACTGCAGATCCACCTGTGTACGACATACACATGCGATTTTCTGTTACGGGTACGTGCCGGAATGACTTCATGAGCCGGGAAGCGGCGGCGGCGGCGGCGGCGGGTGGTGCTGGTGGTGATGGTGGTGGAGGCGGTGGGTGATGGTGGTAATGGTTTCGGTGGTGGTGGGAGGGAAATTCCTTTCCGGGAGACACATGAAACCCCTAACTGAGGGCAAAATCCCCTTAAATAATAATCATGCCGGCAATGATGACCACCATGTCAATTGATCAGGATAAAATAGAAAAATCAACATTACCAGTAGGAATGTGGGGTAGGGTGAGGGAAATATTAATAGAGAGCTCTGTCCCCACGAAACCCCTATCCCCCTTTCCTTCCCCCCCCCCCACCCCTCCCACA